TATTCGAACCTTCCTTTAGCTAATGATGAAGAATCGACTGCTTACCAATGCTGAAAGAAAACGTCGTGGAATTTTTGAGGATGCTTCCTGCTCCAAGTGTAATGCTGACATTGAAGGCATAGACCACATCCTTTGATAATACCCCACTACTCGTGCCTGTTGGAGATTGGTCTTGCCCTATACTGAACCACCAACATTCTTTACCAAGCCCTTCAAGGAATGGATTCTCTGGAACTTAAATCCACGCCTCATGGGTACACATTGGAGACTTGGATTTGGCACCCTCCGTTGGAAACTCTGGACCAATAGAAATAGGAGAATCTTTATGGATGAGCATGAAACACCACATAGTTTAGTTATTTCTATTTGTAGTTTAGTTAATGCCATTGTCAAAACGCGTCAGATGGTTAACACCATTGATCATGCCACTTAACGTGCTTTTTGTTCATTCTTGCGTGCTGTACATATTTGTTTAATGATAATCCATTCCCTTTCAAAAAGAAAAGTACCACATATCTTAGCACTATAAATGTATTAATGTATCTTGCTAATTCAATAAGACCTGATATTACATTTGTTATAAATTTATTAGCAATATTTAGTTCTTTTCCAACAAAAAGACATTGAAATTGAGTTAAACCTTATTTTGATATCTTTGAAGGGCAATAGATATGGAATTATTTTATTCTAATAAATTTGAATCATAACTTATTACTTATATAGATACAAGATTTTGATCACACCCACATAAAGGTATATCACAAACTAAATATTTATTTATTTGTGGGGTATAGCAATATCTTAGCATTCAATAAAACAAACTGTTGTTGCTACCTCATCAAATCATACAAAAATAATTGCAATTCATGAGACAAGTAGAGAATGTGTTCGTCTAAGATTAATGATCCATCATATCCAAAAAAATGTGTGGTTTATTGTTAAAAAATATATTCCAATAATATTATATAAAGATAATACAATGTACATAGCTCAATTGAAAAGAAAATATATTAAAGGAGATAAAATAAAACATATTTTTTCTCTTCATTTCTTATATTATCTTATTTTTTTTCTACTCTTCATATTAGTTATATTTTATAACAAGAAGTACGAAGTTATCACAGTTGTTATGGGATAGATTATAATTAAACAAACGTGAGGAAGAATTAATTTTGAAATCATAATTGATTGCTTTATACTTCCTCTATTTCAAATTATAAGATATTTTTAAATAATATTACATATATTAATAAAGCTTTTTAAATATACTTTAAATTTTATTTTTAAAAAACAAAAATATAAACTTCAAAAAATATTTTTTATTTAATATTTTATTTATAAAAACTATTAAAAAAATATAATAAGAAGAGTAATATTTTAAAATACTAAATATCTTTTAAAAATATACTTTATAATTTGGGACAGGCGAGTGCAAATCTCGGTGGAAACAGTTCCATTACGAACAACCCCAAGCTGGAGTATTTTTCAAAACTGGGAGCATTCAATTCAAATGGTCAGTTCAGCTAATTAATTTAGAGTTTACTTTTCTTTTCTCTTCTTTTCTTTTCTGGTAAAAAGAGTTTACTTTCCAATTTTGATCACAAACGAGCAGACCAAGTGATGAAAATGACCTTTGACTCGGTCTCTTCGAAAGCAGTGCATTCGTCTCCATTTGTCAATGTTACATTAAATGTAACACCCTCATTCATTACATTTTTATTTGGAAATAAATATATATAAGTTCCGGCCAGGAAATAAAATATATCAATAAAAGTAATATACAGAGTCCAAGCAGATAATTGACGAGAAACACTGAAAGTAACTTATAGTTTGTGAAGCAAAATGAATCCATAAATACTACATTATTCGGTAAAATTCTATGTTTTCATGCTTGACTGAAAGAGAAAAGTGAACTGAAAGGGGAAAAAAAAACTGAAAAGAAAATAAATATCGCACATACCCCTTTTTTTTCAAATAGAAAAATTTTAGAAAGAAAACTTTAACTTCTAAATTTATCCACGGGTGTTTTTTTCTCTATTTTCATTCATATATTTGGTTATTGTTTAAAATTTTTAAATTATTCATTATACATTTAATAATTTAGTAAATAAGAATTAAAATTGAATAAAAATGATTTGTAATTATATTTTTTCCCACTAGTCTTTGTCAAAAAAAAATTCCATTAATAATATATAATAAAAAATATATAAATAACATGTTAAAGTTTTAAGTTTTACCCATATAAAAAAAATAACTTTTTCCTCCTTTTTATTTTTTCTTCGTCGGCTAATTAATTTCTACCTTCACTTTTCACTTTAATTCTTTTTATTTTTTATCTTTTTTTTTTATTGATTTCTCTCGCGGCCCAAGCATTGCATCAAGAGAGGGATCTTTTTAATTTTTTTTCTCCATTTTCCCTTACTTCCTCCATTCTGACCATTCAAATTATTTTATTAAATAATTTTTTTAAATAATAAAATTAAATTCTCACCATTCAAATTATTTTATTAAATAATTTTTTTAAATAATAAAATTAATGAATGGTGGAGATAGGGACATAAAGAAAAATGAAGGAGAAAAAAAATAAAAAGATCCTCTTTCCGTTGCGTCAGAGATTGAAGAGAAAGTGTTTTTCCCAGCCTCTCCATCAATTCTCAATTATTTGTGAAAGTTATTTAGAGAGAAATATCAAATCTGACGGCTTAAAGTTTCTTCAAGTACGCGTTGGTGATCATATTTAGGGTCTGGCTAAAAAAAAAAAAGATCATATTTAGGAAAAATGACAATACCATCTCTCAAATTATATACATAATACTCTTATTACTCTAATATCTAAAAATATCATAATTTTATTAAAATCTCTTAAAATTTCTGTATTAATAAATTTTAAATTAAAAATATTTTTTTATCTTTATTGATAAATTATTTTTTTTATTCAATTCTTCTGATTTTTAAATAAAAATTATTATTACTTAAATAAAAGTTATGATTGTGATTTATTATTTTAAAAATTTATTTTTTAATAACAAAAATTACATTTAATAAGTTATAATTTTTTATTCAATTTTTATAATTTATAAAAAAAATTATTATTATTCAAATAAAATTGTGACTGTGACTTATTATTTTACAAACTTATTTTTTAATAATAAAACTTACATTTGATAAGTTGTGATTTTTTAGTTAACTTTTGAGATTTACTGAACAAAAATTATTATTCTTGAAGTAAAAGTTATAATTAAAATTTATTATTTTTAATAAAGATAAAATGAACTTTTTATTTTAAAATTTATTAACACAAATTTTTTTAGAGATTTTAATAAAATTATAATTATGATATTGTAAAAAATTATGTTATTATTTATATAATTTAGGAGATTTCATTGTAGCTTTCCATCACATTTATTGCTTTACGCGTTCCACTTTGTCACTCGTAATAATATTCGTTTCCCACCCTGGTTCTTTGACTACAGCATCTGATCTTCATCCGATTATTCACTTGTTATGTCTTTCATTCCCGCTTTTCTTTTTCATTCTGTATTCTACTCAATTCTCTATTTGATTTATCATTGCGTATGAATCACCCATAAAGAGTGCTTAATTGACGGTTTTTATTTTTTTTTCCTTATGATTTCGATTACTTAATAGCTAATAAACGCAGTTATTTCAGAGAGTTATATCATCTTGTCACCGATTTTTCCGAGGGCAGACTTTGTTTGAACAGCGTGATTTCAGATCAAAGATTCATTAAAAAAGGAACACTGTAATCTACTTGACAAGTAATACTATTTGTTAATTAAGAATTATAAAATTAAACTGAATTCCAAATCCGTGGATTATGCACTTTACATTGTGACCTTATTCACTGACCCTACCTTAATGTATATTTGATCTCATTCTAATTAAGATACACCACAAATTGAGTTGACTAGAGAACTTTGCATAAAAAAAAAAAAGAAATAAAGAAAAAGAAAAAAGAAGTTGACTAGACAACTCCTTGCGGAGATGTACGTCTCTTTTGCCGATCTTTTCATGGCCCTGGCCACACACACATTGTTTGGGTTATTTTTGAAAATATACCTCAGTAAATTTTCACCGAGTCGCGAGGAGTCAGCTATATATTTGTTTTTCCGAAACAAGAGAAACTCCATTGGTAACTAATGGTTCCTTTTTTTCTTGTTTTATTGGGGTTCTAGAATAACAATGAAATGAAAATGGTCATTTTCAAAGACGAAATTAAAGAGACCAGAAATACTTGGATAATATTTGCCGATGGTTTACTCACGGTCAGGTATGGATTTATTTTTTAACATATTCGTGCGAAACGGTTATTAACATCAACTGATTAAGCTAATCATTTGTCCGGTTTAATTATGAATTCAAACACAACATATTATACTAATGCTTTAAATATCCTTTCGAACCACTCAAGGAACAAATGCAATTGCTGCGCGCCGTACACACATAACAGAGACCAAGGCTAGTTATTATAAATGAATAATAAAACTTACACTAAAATTAATGTCCTTTTCTGAAGAAAATAAAAAACCCCATGTTATCGTGTCTAAGCTGTGTGCTATAGTCCAAATTTATTTGTTACAGAAGTTCAAACGATATTAAAACTTAAAAGGACATATATAAAAGCATAAACAAGCTAAGAGAGCCGGGACCGTAGGAGCGAGTGGGCTGTAAACCATGTTAATTGTTCGCTTTGAATATCACTAGTTCAAAGTTTTGACTGTATCATAAATAACGTATACTTTGCGCTTCTGGATAATTAATCAGTAATCACCTTCGAGGAAATTTCAAACAGACTGCAGAAAAACAAGAATCAGTTTTTGTTTTGGTTTTTTTTTTTCAAAAAAACCTTTTGTAAACAGCACGACAAATAATCTAAATTGAATTACAACTGTACAAGGCATATGCTTGGACTTCACGAGGACGTCGGAATTGGATCGTTAGAAAAGTTAAAACAGCACAACTGATGGAAGATCCTATTAGTCCCCGTAAGATGAGCCAGTGCTTAATTTTCTCACGTTCCAACTTGGGCCAAATGTTAGGTGCTTGTGGACCCATCTCTATCCCGTCTTCCTCCCACCCTCCGTACTATAAAACACATCACTTCTCGGTTTCTCTTGCCCACATTGATTCCCACGCATGCCTACCATTGCTTCTGCTCATGTCGACACAAGCATCATCCCCTCTTTCTCCATATCTTTCTTCGATTCTTCTTCTTCTTCTTCTTCATCTTTATGTCTCTGTTTCTTTTGCAGACCCAACTTCCATTTACAGCCCCTTCCTCGACTGTCTAACCAAACACGCGGATCCATCCGACGATCTCTCCGACATTGTATACGCAAAAACAAATGTTTCCTACACTTCAATCCTTGAAAATTACATCAGAAATGCCAGATTCAACACTTCCTCAACCCCAAAACCCTCCATCATCGTCACCCCTTCCAAGGAATCCCATGTCCAAGCCACTGTAATTTGCGCCAAATACATCGGAGTTCAAATCAAAATCCGGAGCGGTGGCCACGATTATGAGGGCACCTCCTACGTCTCCGACCAAACCTTCATCATCCTCGACCTCTTCAACCTCAGAAACATCTCCGTCGACATCCCAAACGAGGTTGCCGTCGTTCAGTCGGGGGCCACCCTCGGAGAGTTATATTACCGTATCTGGGAAAAAAGTAAGGTTCATGGATTCCCTGCAGGGGTGTGTCCCACCGTCGGCGTGGGAGGTCATCTGGGCGGAGGAGGGTACGGCAACATGCTTCGAAAATACGGCTTGTCTGTGGATCATATTATTGATGCTACGATTGTCGATGTGAACGGTAGAATATTAAACAAGGATTCCATGGGAGAAAATCTTTTCTGGGCTATTAAAGGAGGAGGAGGCGGCAGTTTTGGGGTTATACTGTCCTTCACTGTTAAACTCGTTCGCGTGCCAGAAACTGTAACTGTCTTCCGAGTTCAGAAGACACTGGAAGAAAATGCCACCGATCTCGTGGTTCAGTGGCAAGATGTTGCTCCTCAAACAGATGACAGGCTTTTCATGAGGCTGCTTTTACAGCCCGTGACTTCTAAGGTGAACAAGAATCAGAAAACAGTGAGAGCTTCCGTGGTGACATTGTTTCTCGGACGGTCCGATGAACTGGTGACACTATTGGAGAAGGAGTTTCCTCTGCTGGGTCTGAAGAAAGAAAACTGCAACGAAACGAGCTGGATTGATTCTGTGCTTTGGTGGGCAAATTTCGCTTTGGGAACAAAGCCAGAAGTGTTGCTCGACAGGAAGCTGAACTCCGCGAACTTCCTCAAGAGGAAATCAGATTATGTTCAGACGCCAATCTCCAGAGCTGGTCTGGAGTGGATATGGAAGAAGATGATAGAGCTGGGGAAAACAGGGTTTGTTTTCAATCCTTACGGAGGAAGAATGAGCGAGATTCCGTCAGATGCGACGGCGTTTCCTCATCGAGCAGGGAATCTGTTCAAGATTCAGTATTCGGTGAATTGGAACGAAGCAGGAAGTGCAGCGGACAAGAATTTCACAAGTCAAGCGAGAAGGCTGTACAGTTATATGACGCCATTCGTGTCGAAGAATCCAAGGAGCGCCTTCTTGAATTACAGGGACCTGGATATCGGGATCAATCATTTTGAGGAGAACAGCTTCGAAGAAGGTCAAGTTTATGGAAGAAAATACTTCAACGACAACTTGGAGAGGCTGGTGAAGGTGAAGAGCGCTGTGGATCCCCAAAACTTTTTCAGAAACGAGCAGAGCATACCCGTGCTTCCAAAATAGTTATGAGGAGGGTGATCGAGCAACGAAGCAGATTCCTCCGAACACGATTATGTTTGATTATTGCAGAATTTCCTTTTTTTATTATTTAATTTTCAATCATTAAAATCTAAACATTGTACTGTAACTAGGCTCATAGCGATAATAAAGATATTAAGATTGTGCAAACAGTTGACCGAGTCCGCGGAGAAATTTCTTGTGGTGGTGCCATAAGTCAGTTGAGTGTTCCCACTTCCCAAGGATGCCGGGTCAGTGTGCCAAAAAATCATCCCAAAAAAATAATGACAAGCAATAGTTTCAAAGTAAATGTAGTGTTTTCTTTGATTAGGTGGCGGTGTTGTTTAATTCCCACTCGTAGGTGGTTGAATATTGATAAATTAGTTATTTAATTGTTGTAAAAATATGGACGAGAGTAGACTGAAGATATTAAGGATTTAAAATAAGACGGACGAGGGTGCAGAGTAGAGTTCGTAGTTGTCAAAAAAAATCTGCGAATCATGAATCATGAGGCGTGAGTTGTGGTTTGGGAATTGTGGAAGTGAAACGGTCCCATATGGTCGCAATTTTAGCCATTCATTCATGTATCTGGAGATTTGGATTGGAGCGCAGCTGCACAAGTTGTTGTCCAACTAGAGAGTAGGGCGATCTATCCACATCAAGCCTATTATATATATACGGCCATCTTGAGGTGAGGGGTTGTCCCCATCACATTTGCTTTTCAAATGATGAGGACGTGGAGCGAGCAAATAATTCATTATATTCATTTTCTTGAAAAACATTTTTTAGGACCTCATTCAGCGCACTCGCTTGCTTATTAACAGGAATTAGCAACTTATTTTGAGATTTAGTAAACGTGAGTGTAATGTTTATATAGGCTGAAAGGCTGATAGATTAGCTAAATATGGTAGCACCATCTTTAATCATCGTCTTTCTTGCCTGTTGAGAGAGGAGGGTGAAGAAAGAAGCAAGCCTGATGTAAGGACATTGATGTAATCTTCTTAATTTAATGTATCCCCTGTTATTGTTGTGAGGGAGGGAGGGAGAAAATGAGCTCAATAACCTGAAACAATACAGTTTTCATAAATTATGAATGAGATTTTTAAATATTTTAAAATATGGCCCATTCATAAAAGTAATTAGATATATTTTATTTTTTTATCTTCAAATTAAATTTATTATTAAAACTAAGGGTGTTCGGTTTATACTCGTCCCGATTAGCCCGATATTATCCCGACATGAAAATAATTAGGACGGGACTTTACAGGATGAAATAGGAAAGAAGTTCGAGATGGGACGGGATATAGGATTACCATCGGGACGTCCCATCCCGTCCTAAATATTATATATATTATTTTTTATTTTAAAAATATACATTAAATATATTAATTATATTAATATAATTTATACTTATATTAATTATATCAATTATAATTTCAATACTTGCAATTTTTATATAAAATTAAATTTTTTTATATTGATAATTTTAATGACATAGAATAAACATGGTAGTACATTTCTTTATAATATATTGATTATATTAATATAATTTATTCTTGTATCTATATATTTAACAACTTTTATTTATATTGTATTTCTTGTTTTATTTTTGAAAGAGTAATTAGCTTAGCACATTTCAACTAAAATAGAAGAAAAATAATTTGATGTTATACTTAGCTTGTCTGTTATTTTTGCTCTTACAGCCTAGAGATCACTTGTAATTGCTATCATAATATGTAGCTGTGATTAATGTAATTCAATAATTGACTTCAAATTGATGTAATTTATGTACTTGTATTATTTTGATTTTAAACTTCATAAATTACATGAATTAAAATTTTAATAAATGTTATCATCCAGATCTTTCTTTGTCATTGTCTGATTTATCGAGACGATAAGATGTTCCGATCACATCTCAGATCTTACTTGTATTATTTCTTTTCATGGGAAATATATTTTAAAAAAGCTACTTCCAATTGTATCCAATAATGATTGTCAGATCAAATTCAGTTAGATAGTTATACAAAAAACAAGTATAATCAGCTAGCGAACACAATATAGAGCCACAATATCTAAAGGCTATTTGGTACATGTACATCACTGAGTTAGCTAGAATTATTCTCTTTTTCTCATCTTGTTTATCAATCTCATCTCAAATATCTCTTATTTTATTAGTTTTATAGCATATTTTTAAAATACTATATATTTACGTATGATATAAAAACTTCAATAAATTATACTATTCACGAGTGATAAATGCAGCGATTGATTTCTCATATTCAATAGCATCAAACTCACATCAGTAGCATCTTATACAAATATGTTTCTCACAATTAAGTTGTCATATGATTGTTTAGTTCTCAAAGATTCAAAATATATTAATAGAAAAATATTTTAAAATATGCAAAAGATAGTGAAATTATATAAAATGTTATAATTTTTTCTAAAGTCTTTGAAGACTTTTTTAACATTAATGATTTTTGATAAAATGACTAAAATACTCCCAATTCAAAATATAGCTTGAACCCAAAAAAGTAAACATCAGTAATTATTTCAGTTTAAGTAATAATTATTTTTTTTCTAAAAATGACTAAAGTGGTACAAATAATCACAACTTCATCTATGCAAATTTTCGATTCACTGAAATTCAAGTGTTATAAATATCCATGACTACTTTAGTTTAAGTAATGATTAATTTTTTTTAAATGACTAAAACAAAACAAGCAATTACAACTTCTTTATGTAAATTTTTTTATTTTAAATTGGACATATTTTAATAATTTTATTAAAAATTATTAATGTTAGAAACGTGGTATAACATCATGGAGAACTCATTATTATTTACATATTTCATGAGATTTTTTCTGTCATTTTTACTATATTAATTTTTGGTATATTAAAAAGTTTATATCACATTTAGAATTTTCTCATCACCACAAACCTTTCGCGAAAAATTATGTACCATCTAGTTGAGGTTCACAGTATTTCATTAATATATACACACACACTAATAAAGAAGGAATTAAATTAAATATAACATTTCGGGAATTGAATATCATATGTAAGATTCAATTGATGTATGTTTCTGGCCGGAAAAAAAAAATTGATGTATGCATTATTATGGATTAAATAATACTCTCCCTTTAAAATTGTAAGACACTTTTTTAAGGGTTATTTTTTTACTTATCCTTTTTTTTAAAGGATTGGTTGTTAAAAATATAAGGTATTTTTAGTATTTATAATTTAATTAATGTATTTTTTAAATTCTTTTAATAATAAATAGTTTTATATTTACTTTTAAGTAAAATATTTTATTAAATAAAAGTAAATATGAAAATATTATATTAGTTTGAAAATAGTTAACTAATTTATTGGAGTAGGATTTGATTAAAAATACTTTACATTTTTTAATAAAAGAGATATAATTATTAATTTTATAGAGAAATAAAATTTGATCCCAAAGAAAACTAAAATTCAGTTTTTTTCTGTTTCAAATATGGGTTCATGATTTATTTTACTAAATGTGAAAAAACAAGAAACAGAAACCAGGACGAAAATGTTCGAATTTTGACTGATTATAGCATTTAATGTATTTCTCAATTAAATTTCGGAAACAGTAAGAAAGAGAAAAAAGAGGCGGAGTTGAGGAATTTTCGAAAACGGTAGTATCTGAATGTGAAACGAATTGAGGAATCTAATTAATCGGATCCAATGCAATCCATCACAATAAATTTCTAGAAAAAGTTCAATGTTCTGAATCACTAGGACCTCCCTTGTGTGTTGAATTTCATTCTCCTTCTCTCCGTGTATAATATATCAAGAAGAATCACTGGTCAGCGCCTCTCATAAGGGCCACCCATGGCACCCACCTTCACGCTCCTGTCTTGTCTTGTTCTTCTTCACCTCTCTGTTTCTTTTGCATACCCAGTATATGCTCCTTTCCTTCAATGCCTGACCAATATAGCCCACCCGTCCGACCATATCTCAGATGTAGTATTCGCTGGCACCAACGTTTCCTACACTTCACTTCTTCAAAATTACATCCGAAATGCCAGATTCAACACTTCCTCCACCCCAAAACCCTCCGTCATCGTAACCCCTTTGCAGCAGTCTCACGTCCAGGCCGCTGTAATTTGTGCTAGATCCATCGGCGTACAGATTAAAATCCGAAGTGGCGGCCATGATTACGAGGGCATCTCTTACGTCTCTTACCAGCCCTTCATCATCCTGGACCTCTTCAACTTCAGAAACATCTCCGTCGACATCCAAAACGAGGTCGCCGTGGTTCAGTCCGGCGCCACCGTCGGAGAGCTGTATTATCGGATTTGGGAGAAAAGCAAGGTTCATGGGTTTCCTGCCGGCGTGTGTCCCACCATGGGGGTGGGAGGCCATCTGAGCGGAGGAGGGTACGGGAACATGCTTCGCAAATTCGGCTTGTCCGTGGATAACGTTATCGATGCCACAATCGTTGATGTGAAAGGTAGAATATTAAATAAGGATTCCATGGGAGAAGATCTTTTCTGGGCCATCAAAGGAGGAGGAGGCGGGAGTTTCGGGGTTATCCTGTCCTACACCGTGAAACTGGTTCGCGTGCCAGAAGCCGTAACTACCTTCCGTGTTGAGAAGACACTGGAAGAAAATGCCACCGATCTTGTGGTTCAATGGCAGGACGTCGCTCCTCGTACAGACGACAGGCTTTTCATGAGGTTACTGTTAGCGCCGGCGACATCTAAGGTAAACAAGAAGCAGTTAACGGTAAGAGCTTCTGTGGTGGCACTGTTTCTGGGAGAATCCAAAGAAGTGGTGACGCTACTGGGGAAGGAGTTTCCGCGGCTGGGTTTGAAAAAGGAAAACTGTAACGAGACGAGTTGGATCGAGTCAGTGCTGTGGTGGGCGAATTATGATGCGGGCACGAAACCAGAAGTGCTGCTGGACAGAGAGTTGAACAAGGCCAAGTTCCTGAAGAGAAAGTCAGATTACGTTCAGACACCAATTTCGAGGGACAGGTTGGAGGGGATGTGGAAGAAGATGACGGAGCTGGGGAAAATAGGACTGGTTTTCAATCCTTACGGAGGAAGAATGAACGAGATCCCATCAGATGCGACCGCTTTTCCTCATCGAGGCGGGAATCTGTTCAAGATTCAGTACTCGGTGACTTGGGATGAAGCGGGAAGTGCGGTGGAAAAGAACCTGACGTCTCAAGCAAAAATGATGTATGATTACATGACGTCATTGGTGTCGAAGAATCCAAGGAGAGCCTTTTTGAATTACAGAGACCTGGACATTGGGATGAATAAATTTGACGAGAATAGCTACAGAGATGGCAAAGTGTACGGAAGAAAGTACTTCAATGAGAATTTTGAGAGGCTGGTGAAGGTTAAAAGTGAGGTGGATCCGAGAGACTTTTTCAGGAACGAGCAGAGCATACCAATACTTCCATCAAAGCAATAGAGCACTCTACACTACAGATTATGAGAGTATTCAACGGATGGCCTTACTTGTATTGCCAGATCGCCCTTGTGCCTAATAAAATCATATTTTAGGATGACAATACTTCAGGCTTGCCTCTCTCCCTTCACTAGTGAATGCTGTATTCAAGTCCAAATACGTAAATCTAATCCAATTATACTGAGATCATGACAATTGATGAAGAGGATGGATGACAATCTCAAAAGATTCTACTTTAATTTGTCTAACACACTACATAAACTAATGATATGGATATAAACTTGAATTTCAAATTCAAGTTATAAATTTATAAGAGTTATATCTCTGTTAAGAAATACCTGTATAAAATTGATTATCATTTAATTTAAATATATTTTAAATATAAATGATTGAAATTAAGATTATTATACTTAACATGAAAATTTTAAAATAGAACAACTTTTTTTGGTATTCCTTGTTTTTTATTAATATTAGTTGGAAAAAAAACTTATATACTTAGCCCCATATACTTTATGTGCTTGTTTTCAATTAATTAAATCAATATATGTGTATCTATTATAGATTATTTATTATATAATAAATTCTTGTTATTAATATTGTTAACATATTAAAATCTCATGTCTTGATTTGATTGGATGCAAGTATATTAAATATATAAGAGTAAGTATATAAGTCTTGCTCGTTTTAGTTTTTCATTTTTGAGTTTTATTTTTTTTAAGTTGGTCCTATTACTTTTATGATTGAGTTCTACTTAGTATATATTTAACTCACTCCCCACTCAATAAAAAGTCAACAAATTTAACGAATTTGATTGAGTTTGTATTTATTCTGAGTTTTTGAATGAGTTGATATAATTTTATAAATTAAAAAAATAAAAACGATAAATTTTGAGAATTAACTTGCAAGTTTAATCTAATTTGTATCTAGTTTGAATTTTTAAATAAATTGACACGATTTTTTAAGTTAAAAACAATAAACTCAAAAAGTCTAATGGGAGGGTTTGACAGCAATAGTTCTACTTGATTTGATTATTAGAGTTAGAAAATTTTCATACATATTATTAGAGTTAGAAAATTCTCATTAAAATAAATACGTGGATAAATAAAATTTGGCCATTGATTTATCAGGTAAATATATTTTATATAAAATAAACTAATTAAACTCATTTAAAAAAAATTATTTGAATATATAGTGGACATATTTTGAAATGAGATATACTTCTACCTTAATATTAGTACACCTAAAAACACGCAATAAAAAAATTCATGACATATGTATTAATACAAGTCTTTTTAAAATAGTTTAAAAGTTATGAAAAAATATTTTATGGTACATGTAGATGTAGAGAATCTACCCTTAAAAGAAATTAGAGTGTAAATTGCATTTGTACCGAACATACGATAAATTACTTGGATAAGGTACAACCAAAAAAAAAAAAAATTGGGAGTAAATGGGGAATTTCATTGACTCAATGAAACTGTACGAAGGAAACAAAGGAAAGACAAAAATTACGTCAGGGTCTTAATTGAAAACAGAGAAAGAGCGTAAAATCTAAAATGTAGTTGACTATGGCTGTAGCTTGAGAGATTACAGTATCAGTATAAAAAATCTCATCAGTGAAAATACGCCGATTCCAACGTAATATCCCAGAGCTTCCAACAAGCGATGCTGATCCTTATCTTCCAAGAAATGTCGAGATCAGGATTATGCAGACAGGTAATCAGCCACGAGTCAGTCTCCTTGCCATAAAAGTCAATGCACATATCAGATGATAAAATCTTCTTCCAAACTGACGCAGAAAAGGGGCAATCCCTTATGACATGTGATATTTTCTACCGTGCCAGTACAAAGGGAGCATTGGGCGTTCTGTGTAAACTTTTGACGAGTTCGTTCAGCATTGGTTAGGAGTTTTCCTTTGAGTAGCAACCATAGAAAAGTTCTGACTCTATGTGCCATAGGGAGCTTACAGACTCAGTCCAAATACTGTTAGAATCATGTCAGTTCCTTTAAGATTCTAGATGCATGAGTGACTTGATGGATTATCTGGTGTATTTTAACAGTAACAACCTGACTGAGAATATTCCCGGGGAGTAAATGACAAAAAATATTCCATTTCCAGCTTCCATGACTGTCAACATAATTCGTAATGGGCTTTTGGAGGTCATGTTCATTAATGTCAGCATATGATTGGTACCAATGCCCGGCTGTCCTTTAATATGCATAATTGTGTCTTGCCACATCTTAGTGATGTTTCTCCAGAAATGAGAACAGCATTTCCTATTAATATCTTGAGCAGTATCACCGGAGAGTTGATATTTACTCCCAAGGACACGAACCCAAAGAAGATTCGGTTCTTCTATGATCTTGAAGGCGAGTTTGGATGAGAAAGCCCTATTTTGGGCTTCCAAGTTGATGATTCCACAGCCACGATTCTTGAGTGGTTGACAAATCTCTCTCCATTTAACCAAGCTAATTCCTCGATGGTCATCTGAATAACCCCATAGGAACTTCCTTACAATTTTTTCAATTGCATTGCAACAAGTGGCTGGAATAATCCTAATTCTCTGCATTGTGCAGAAGGGGATGGAAGTGAGCGCAGATTTTGCAACAATGATGCGACCTGCCAACGAGAGCAAATGGCTTTTCCAACCCGCTAGTTTCTGATTAAGCCTTTCCAGAATATAAGTGGAAGTTCTGGAAGTTACTCTACCAGTAATAAGTGCTACTCCGAGGTATCGACCTAAAGATTCATTTCGTTTTAAGCTCACCCTCTGACAAATTGCAGCATGTGTTGAGGGAGCAACATTTTTTGAAAAGCAAGTCTGTATATTAGAGCTGCTCACAGATTGACCAGAAGTGACACAAATTATGCAGCACACGATTAATTGTCTCAACTTGCGCATCAAAGGATTCTCCAAAAATATATATATATATATATATATTAATTAATAAAATCATCAGAAAAATAATAGGTGGGATAGAGGAAATCACCTGCGACCCATCCTGATAGTTCGCCAATTTTTTGGACTACTTTTCAGAATTAATAGCTTGAGAGAGTCTCTCTATATAGAGAACAAAATATACAGGGATAAAGGATCGTTCTGTCTAATGCCCTTCTTCGAAAAGAAGGGTGATGGCTTACCATGCTTGCATAGTTGAAGTGGTAAGACACTTCATAATGAAGCTAATCATTCTTGAAGGTAGCTTAACATACTTGATAGTATCCTCAATAAAATCCCATTACAGTTTATTGAAATAAAACTTTTTCTAAATCAACCTTAACTGCCATCCATCCCATTTTCCCAGTCTTTTTTCTCATGGAATGCACATAACTTCTGTGCTATGATGATATTATCAATAATACTTCTTTCATGCACAAAACTGGTCTGATGTAGTTGCATTACCTCAAGCATTAGGGGCTGGAAATGGTTTGCAATGATTTTGGTTAGCACTTCATATACAACCGAGCAAAGACTAATAGGTCAAAACTCTAGATATATTGTGGTTTTGAGAATTTAGGGATCAAAGCAATAAGAATCTAGTATAGATCAAAATCCAGTTCTCCTCCCATCCATAAGTTCTTAATTAGAGTAAAAAGCCTATGACCCACAATATCTCATTGACTTTGGAAAAATAGAGCAAAAAAACCATTTATTCAAGGGAATTTCTAGGGTTTCATATCGAAAAGTGTGCACCTCACCTCCTTAATAGTAATCATTTTCCCCAAATTTGCAAAAGTATTGCCAGCAATTGAGGGAAATGCTCTTGAGATAGCATAAGGAGTAAAGATCTCATCAGTAAGGGAGTAGAGTTGTTTAAAGTAATTGCACGCCATGGACGAGAGTCTTTGATCATCAAAAACCCAATTTTCTTATTCAATGCATAGTTGAGTAGTTCAACTCCTTCTCCAATGGATGAGAGCTTTTGTATGATAGAAAGGAGTGTTGTGATCACTTGAACAAAGCCAATCACTAGAGGATTTTTGAAACCATAACAATTCCTTTTGTAAACAAGTATCTTCAAATTCCTTACAACCATGCCATCATCAATGACCCATTTGAGTGATTCAGTCAAGATCACTTCTTAACTTGACGCTGAGAGAACCGAAGTTGGATTCGGTCTTATACATACGCGAGGAAGGTAATCAAAAAGAAAGAAGAACTCATCTTCTTTCTTTATCAAGCTCTTATTCCAGGTAGAACAAAAAAGGAGAGCAAGTGAAAGATTCAAGCTTCTTTTGGATCCCTAAAATTGTTGCAAGCAACCACTTTTTCATTCTTCTTTTTGATGTGACCAAAGACATTTATGTTCTAGTCTTTGGCTATAAAAATAAAGGATTTACTATTATTTAAAATATTTCAATTCACAATCTATCATCTTTTCACCATACTAGTAAATCCAGATGCATAATCCAAGAGACAAGGAATCTAAAAGGCTTTTCAGTTGAGTAAGGATGCTTTTGAAGGCTCAAATTGATTAAGATGGGCCGATGATCATAAAGGAGCTTAAGAAGGTGATCCATGTTGCAAGAGTTAAAAGAAGAGATCCAAACTTAATTTGTAATAGCCCTATCCAGTCTTACAAAAAGTGTGCCTCTCCTCTAAGTAAATCTTGGGTCATCGTAACCCAAATTAATAAGCCCAATGGAGTGCATAAGGGAACAAAAGAGAGGACACCTAAATTTAACCTTCCAAAGCCTCCTTCGCATTCATCACTAAAAATGGAAGCACTAAAGTCCTCGGCACTACCAAGGAGAATTGGAATCAAGTGAAATATTTCAAAGGTCTCACCAAAGAAGCTTCTGCCAGTTGGCTTGGGGACTTCCATAGATGGTAGAAAAGTAGAAGAATTTGTTTGCGTTAGGGAGAGAAACTTCCATATATAGATGAATTGGAAGTGATTGGAGATAATTTTGATTTCAACTTTATTTGTCCAAAGAATCAAAATGCCACCAAAGAACTCAAATGCTTGAACTCAATGTGAGTTTGAAAAGCCAATCTTTTTTTATGACTTTATCAGCCTTTACACCTAAAATGCAAGGCTCTATAATCATAAAGATTTTAGCTTTGTAGTTAGAAATAAAAGACTAAATAATGAAGAGAA